GGTTCCTTCACTTTATAGGTTCAGGGTGCCGAAAAGTGACTAGGTTTCGTTCGACTAGGTAGACAAACTGTTTTCCAGACGAAACAGTGTAATTTTCTTTTCGCAACTCTTTTTTGTGTCAACGGCTATTGTTTCTGGAATGTGTTGTTGTTGTGAGCAGCTTAGGCTCCGCAGGCGCCTGTGAGCAAGAAAAACCAATCGGCACTCGATGACCGGAAAGTGGTCAACATCACGCCGGCCTCCTTTACATCTCAGGACTTTACATGGTACCCACTGTCGGATGGGTAAACCCAGCGTTATTAAAAAAAAAAATAATTGTCCGATTACGCTGGGACTAGAACCCACAACCTTCCGATCTGCGAGCTAGTGTCTGGCCGCTACACCACAGCTGCTTCCTCTGCTCAATAATGTAACAGTTATAATAAGGTGAGTCGGCTCTGTGGCTAAGTCGATGCGAGCGCTTCGTAAAGCCGGGGTGCCGGGTTCGATCCCGGCTGCGAGCCATGTGCCTTGCGTTGGTTTTGACAGTGGCATCAAGAAGCCGACCGTCCAGTAAGAAATGGCAAATTACTGGACGTAAATTTGCCTAGAGAAACCACACAACAGACAGGGGCTGATAAGGTTGGTTCAGCAATGTCCTGTAAAGGATACGCAACTAACCTATATTAAGGTGAGAGAAGATCGTGGCCTGGCGTTCGACCCAGGTCGGCCCACTCTCTAAAATTGTGTAGGAGGTAATAGGCCGAAACAAATTATCGACGAGGGATCTTCTACTAATGAACGGTGGACTCTTGCTGTACATATTTCCCTATGGAGTTTCGTTTTATAAAAGGTGCCCTTTATGTTTTAAAGTAACCTGCAGTCCAGCCTGAGGGAGGGAATTATATGGATAATAATGTGCTTGCTCTTTATTTACTGTAAAAATGTATATAAAAACTGTGCTTTTGAAGATAAATATAACCCACTTTTTTACAACTTCAACATTGCTTACACTATTTACTTGGCTGTACCCCACTGACTGAATTTGTTTCGATAAATTTCAAATGGAAGTAGAGAGTGGAAAAAAATTAATTAGGGAATATATTGGGTCAACTACAAGCAAAACAAGTAAAGTGATAGCTTGTGGTGGTTGAAGGCCTATTTTCCACTGGGAAGTAAAGACTGTAAGAGAAGAAGAGGAGAATGATAGAAGAAGAAGAAGAAGAAGAAGAAGAAGAAGAAGAAGAAGAAGAAGAAGAAGAAGAAGAAGAAGAAGAAGAAGAAGAAGAAGAAGAAGAAGAAGAAGAAGAATAAGAATAAGAAGAAGAAGAAGAAGAAGAAGAAGAAGAAGAAGAAGAAGAGAAAGAAAAGAAGAAGAAGAAGAAGAAGAAAAAGAAGAAGAAGAAAAACAAGAATAACAAGACAAGAAGATGAGATGGGGGGATAGAAGAAGAAGAAACAAGAAAAAAAAAAATGAGAAGGACCCGTGGTCAGCTAGAACATTTTGGCAGGCTGCTTATTTGAGTGGTTGCTACAGATTAGTTTTCCTTCGAAACTGTCTTTCCAGGAAAACCGGAACTGAAACCTTGGCTGACAACCTATGCTTCATGGAAGTCTAACGGCCCCTGTGCCACAATCCGCAAGCACCTAATCTGCATCCTAACTCCCGAGGATCTTCCTCATCTGATGGAGAGAAACGAATTGTTTGCCAACAAGTTTTACATCACACATCACCCTGCTGCTCTCCATTGCTTAGACGAACTCTTGTTCAACCTCACTTTCACCAGATCTACACGCAATATGACCTACTACAACAGTCTTCCATTTGCTTTAAAAGGCAATTAGAGTGTATGCTTTTGAAAACTTAGTTGAATTACCTTTTAAAGTATAGTGCTGGCTCGGTAAACGCCCATTTAGTAATAAATCAACTTGGTATACGCCCTGTTAGGACGAAAAAATTGTGTGTGTGTGCTTTAAATACACCTTTGATTGGAATACAACTCTCGTACTATGACTTGTATGAGTCAAATTTTACACCACCCGCTACTTTTATTTACCTCTCCTGAAACAAAACTTTGCAGGGAAGTACCAAAACAACAAATCCCAGACAGGCCGTAATAGCATTGTCTGGAACTATCAAACGCTGTCATATTTCTGAAACATCCACAGAGAAAGCACATGCAAATCTTTTTGGACAGACTGTTAGTGAAAGTTCACGCAAGAAAAATAGTCAGGGACAAGAGAGAGAGAGAGAGAGAGAGAGAGAGAGAGAGAGAGAGAGAGAGAGAGAGAGAGAGAGAGAGAGAGAGAGAGAGAGAGAGAGAGAGAGAGAGAGAGATATTCAGATTCTTGAAGTTTTTGTGGAAGGGTGCTTCCTCCTCCTCAGCACAATCCTAATAGACACTCGAATATTCTCAGCAATGTAATGTGAGGTTAATTGTTCATTTTTTTAAATAATTCTTGTTTGTATTTATGTATCTGATTATTAGGCTGTCTGTATTCTATTTTATACAGCCCCATCAATGTATAATATGCCAATAAGATGGGAACGGATTAATCATTTCCCCTTTATTTATTATTGGTAATTTGTTTAGTATACATCCTGTTTGGTATTAATCCAATGATCAGTAACTGATTAACGACGTATACCGAGACACCCCTGTTTCATGTCAATGATAAATTCATTTCCTATTGTCTACAGTCATAGCTTTGTTTCTAGTAACTAAGTCGGGCCCAGAAAGAGTGACTTCCCTTGCTATTCATACCTGGTCGTGTCGCCGGGCCTGTCCTATGTTGCGGGGGTGTCATGCTTAGTGAGCGTCTAGCAACACAATGTATTTTACTCGTTTTGCTCCCGTCAGTTCGGGACAGTGGAGAAGGCACAGCCGGGTGCCAAGCAGAATACTAGCAGGAGACAGAGGGACATTCTGAAGTGTCGGGCAGACAAGAATGCCCTGAGAAAACGGTTCAAAGCCGCTACAGGTAGCGAACGGGAGGGGCTGCATGAAGTTTGGTTGCATTTAAAAAACAAACACAGTGCCCTCTGTAACAATAGAAGAAGAACCAAAAGGGAGCGAGAGAAATTCTTTAGGGACCCGTATCAGTTTGCCCGAGGTCTATTCGAGCAACCGAAGTCTGGGACTCTGGTTGTCAGTCAGGAAGAGCTTGAGTTACATTTACGCAAAATGTACTCTGACAAAAAAGAGGAGAGAGCCTCTCGATGACAATCCAGAGATCCTTAGCGGCCTCAAGCAGCCTGAGTTGCCAACGGTACCATTTAAAATGATACCTCCTTTTTGGTCTGAGGTTGAGGAAGTTGTGAAAAAGGCCAGCGGCAAGTCTGCTCCAGGCCCGAATGGTGTTCCGTACGTTTTTTACAAGCGTTGCCCGAAAATCCTACGAATGCTTCACGTCTTGTTGAGACAAGCGTGGATCCGTAATCACATATGTCCAGAGTGGCAAAAAGCGAATGGGGTCTACATTCCCAAAGAGCAGGACTCGAAGAGTCTTTCCCAATTCAGTCCCATCTCGCTGTGGAATGTCGAGAGTAAGATATTCTTCTCGGCTCACACAGTATCTGATGGCTAACAAATACATCGATACGAGTGTTCAGAAGGGTGGTATTCCAGGCGGTCCTGGGTGCCTTGAACACGCGACCATGATTTGGGAGGCTATCCAGAGAGCCAAGCATGAGAGAACCCAATTGCACGTTATATGGTTGGACTTAGCCAACGCCTACGGGGCAGTTCCCCATAGGCTACTGTGGCGAGCCCTTCGCATGTTTCACGTACCGGCACAGATCAATCAAATGATCGAGCAATATTTCTCCAAGTTCGCTTTGCGCTTCTCTACCTCGACGTTTACCACGAGGTGGACTGAGTTGCAGATTGGGATAGCTATGGGGTGTACGATCTCACCTATACTGTTTGTCATGGCCATGCAGATCATGTTAGACGGGGCGGGCGGCTACGGACTGGGCTTTCAAATAGGGGATCACTGGATGCCGCCACTACGCGCATTTATGGATGACACGACAATAATAACGGGCAGCGAGGAGTCTGCCCGCACGATCCTGAAAAGATTGGACGCGGTGGTCCAATGGAGCGGTATGCAGTTCAAACCGCAGAAGTCGAGGAGTCTGTCAATCCTTAAGGGCAAGGTGTCGGCAACCAGTTTTACGGTGGCAAGGAACAAGATCCCCACGGTTCTGGATGAACCGGTGAAGAGCCTCGGTCGCGTTTACGATTCGAAGTTATCTGATAGAGCGGAAGTCCGGCGAATACACGAGTCACTGGCTACAGGCCTGCTCGCGATCGAGCGTTGCCGGCTGGTCGGGAAATTCAAGGTATGGTGTCTCAAATTCATGTTGATTCCAAAGCTCCTATGGCCACTGTTAATCTACGAGGTGACGATGACTGCAGTGGAAACCATGGAGAGGAAAATCAACACAGCCTTGAGAAAGTGGATTGGTGCACCGCCTTGTCTGACCGACGTGGCTCTGTATTGCAAGCAGGCTAAGCTGGTACTCCCGTTCAAATCGATAACCGAAGAGTTTAAAGTTGGCAAGGTAAGACTCGCTATGCTCTTGCGCGAGTCTTCAGACCCAAATGTCATCGCTGTCCAGCCTGCTCTAAAGACTGGCCAGAAGTGGAGGGTCCTCGATGCGATTGAATCTGCGCAGAACACACTAGAATTGAAGGAGATAATGAGATACACTCAAACCGAATGTCGAGGCCTAGGGCACGGGAAGGTCAATTGGTGGTCAAAGGCCTCAGCCAAAGAGCGCCGAGACATGGTAATACAAATGGTGAGGGACAACGAAAACGAGGTTCGGGTTCAGAAAGCAGCCCAGCAGTCGCAGCAGGGCCATTGGGTCAGCCTGGAGAGCGCATTGCCAAGAATACTCACATGGGGTGAGATCTGGCGGATGACCCCGCTGCGACTGAGCTTTATCGTTCGTTCGGCGTACGATGTATTACCGTCCGGTGTTAATATGGTTAAGTGGTCTGCGACTAACGATCCGACTTGAGCCTCTTGAGCATGTCCTGTCCGCGTGCAGGAAAGCCCTTTGCCAAGGCAGATATACCTGGCGACACAACAAGGTGCTAAAAGAGTTAGCAGCCGTTGTTGATCAGGCTAGAATGAGGGCTAACGCTAGAGCCAGTTCTACTATCGTCCCCATACGTTTATTCAAGGCTGGGCAGGTTCAAAAAGGTAAGGTCAACCGAAATGCATTCGCTCCATCTGTGCTAGACTCTGCGAGGGACTGGTTACTGGCGGTTGATCTGCCGGGCCATGAAAGGTACCCTGAGTTGATCCGGAAGACCGGTCTGCGACCTGACATAGTCCTCCACTCTGCGGAGAAACGGCAGCTCATCCTGATAGAGCTGACCGTCCCGTATGAGTCGCGTATTGATGAAAATCACACATATAAGCTCGAGAAATATTGTGATTTAGCAGCCGGTCTGAGGAGAAACGAATCGTACACAGTATGGGTCTTTGCCGTCGAAGTGGGAGCGAGAGGCCTCGTTTCCACCTCGCTCTACAATGTGGTTAAAGAACTAGGATTGCGCGGTCATGAACGGAAACGAACACTTAAAAAACTGGGCGAGGCAGCCGAAAGGGCCTCGAGTTGGCTTTGGACGCAACAGAACAACGCAGGGGACGGGCCTCGGTGAGCTGGTCCGGGTGTCTAGTGGAAAAGGGTTTCTCACCCCTTGAAGGTCCATCGTGTCCGAATTGTCTGCCAGTGATCCTCTGCCACCTGCTAATAAAAGTCCAACATGTGTCCGGTAAACCAATCGTAAGCTAGTCGCTGGGTCGTCCAAGTATGCTGACTGCTTTAATTAGGCTGCCGCGACGACTTCTTATCTCACAGTACCTTCTGCAAACCACCAAGTCGTCTTGTCCCTATCCGAAAGAAAAACACCATCCGGTAATTTCGTGCAGCAGGGTACCAGCCCTGAGCTTCATGAACTCAGGTGGGCCCACCTCCGAAAGTGTATAGGAGAATCGTGGGCCGAAACACTTGTCGACGAGGATATCTTCTACTGATGACTAGTAGAACCCTGCTGTACTTGCTCCCTGTGAGTTTATTCCTATCGTGTTCACTGGCTACAAACTCCGGAGAAAATGTTTGGTTGTTCGTCTACATTTGAACGTTGACCTTGTTCTAGAGCTTGAGTATTGCGTGCACATCCGTTATATAGACCTGGCTTATTTAAAATGCAGACTGTTGGTCCCTGGCCTCTCAGGCAGAAGCACTCCGACTTCAAAGGAAACATCCATAGTTAGTTGACTTTTACGACATTATGCTAGAGAGCTGTGCTCCCCCCCCCCCCACCCCAACCCTTATTCAAACACACAACTGGGTCCAGAAACCTACAAGGGGAAGTTGTCTTTTTCATTACAGTAAGGCTCTGTAATTTTGAAAACTTAAAAATTGATGGTAGAGATATGAGAATAATAAAATGCATATACTGGCAACAAGAAGCAGCCATAAGGATTGACAACCAAGGTGGAACATTTCAAAACATTAAACAAAGCTTTAGACAGGAATGTGTACTACCACCCTATGCATTCAATTTGTAAAGTGCAATAATAATTAGTTCCATACATGGTGTACCTGTAATATCGGCTGGTGGGCAATCTGCAGTTTGCTGCAAAGCGATTGGGACAAACCTCAAGCAAGTTGATTTGTTGAAGTACTTGGGTACCCTGATAACATCAAACGGAAGATGTGTTAAAGAATTTAAATGTCGAATAGCTCAAGCAAAGGCAGCATTTTACAAAATAAAAAAATATTTTATGCAATCTTTCATTGTCAATTATGACGAGAAAGAGAATTCTTAAAAGTTATCAGAAATCCTATCTTGATTTACGGAAGTGATTCATAGACCGTTGGTAAATTAGTGAAAACTTATTTGGAAGCTGCGGAGATGTGGTTTTATAGACGAATTATGAGAACACCCTGAAACATAGAGTTCCGGGCGTTATACAGAAAGATATGGTTCTGACTTTACGGCTGCCATTGTAAAAACCTGCAGACATGTTGGATCCTTGTTGAATTTGACTTCAGTTTTAAAGGATTCACTTAACTGCTTCATTTGTGTAATTGTTACTGTAGTATGCATCTGACGAGATACGGCGAAATATGCCAGGAAATAAACTGTGCATTCTATTGTTTGTGTCTTCTTTGTTCAAATTTACAACGGGGGAACACTGAAAAGAAACCATTGTTGTCTGTGGTAGCTCTTCAATGAATCATTCTAGCGGCTTTCAGTGGAACGAGAGTAACACCATGGAAAAGAAAAGGGCTTAGCACATAACATTCCCTAAGTGGATACATGGCTGTCAACCTTTATGGTGGAGACAGCATACAATTTTAAAGAAATTTAAAACACTCTTTTATGTGTTACAAAAGTGGTTTCAAACTGTGTCAACACTGGTATGCAGCTTGGGCAGTTCATACGCAGTTAGTTAGTTAGTTAGTTAGTTAGTTAGTTAGTTAGTTAGTTAGTTGGGTTATCATCATTGCACTCCGGACATGTCCATAGGTGCTCAGATCCTCCCCTCAGTATGAATCCCAACGTCCGATGGCTAATAGTACCAGTTCTATGTTGATTAACAAGTCTTCTGACGTGTCCGGTGTGCGTCTCGTTTTTTGCTGTGCCGATCTTAATTCCCAAGTCTGCCATTCTGGCGAGTGATGTGGATTCACTGCCACCAAAGTCCTCTATCCTTCCCATTTCTCTGAGGGCATTGATAATATCAGCATGATCCATAGGCCGACCGTCGGTAGTGATAGCGGATCCAGCCAACCTGTCAGCTCTTTCATTTCCATCGACGCCTGCGTGTCCCGGAACAAAAATAAAGGTGACTCCTCGCACAGTGGACTTCTGAATTGATTCAAGCCATTGTCTTCGCACTGAACCTGCCTGAACCCTCCGGATCATACTCATTGAATCACTGAGTATACATATGCGGGTGTATTTTTGTGTTTCAAGCCAGGCAAACGCTTGCGTCACTGCCATCACCTCCATCGTCATGCTGCTGGTTGTCATGGAGAAGGCGCCGTGGCTTCTTTGACTGTTCTGCCCGCTGAGCGTGCTGTAAATGCCCATGCGCTTCTTCTTTGGCGTATAACTGATCCGTCTGTATAGATTAGTGCATCTGCTTCGTCTGAATTTTCACCGATGAGAGCGTTGACCTCTGCATTAACAGCAACAGGATTCTCTTCTCTACATCGCCTGTTGAGTGTTACAATACAGGAAAATGTACAAATAAACGCCTGAGGCACAGGTATCCATTCTGCACCAGGTATGATGTCGGTTAGGCTGCATATTTGCCTAATAACATCTTCTGCCCGACCTAGCCACGATTTTCCCCTCTTCAGTCTGTCGCCCTTTTCACTAAAAAGCGCTTGATGCAGTGGGTGTTTCCTATCAGCACATATTTTGAGGTATGCCTGAGCCCTCCACATCCTGATCCTTTGGTTCATTGTTAGAAAGTCAAGTAGATACCTCATTGCTCCACTGGATGTGTCTCTTGTACATCCCAAAATAATGCGCATGGCTTCATTTTGCACCTTCTCGAGTCGTTCAATCTGGGTAGCACTGACAGTGAGGATGGCCAGAGCGTATTCAATGGGGGAAAGGACCAGACCATAAAATAGAAGCACCAGCAGTCTTTGCTCGATATTGGAAGCAGCCATAATCCTCATTGCAGATAGACCTTTGCGTGCTTTTGTTATCGCATGGTCAACGGGTTCCCTGAATGACAAGCTGCGATCGAACCTCACCCCGAGAAACGTCATAACGTTGGTTCTGATCAATACATTATCACGCATTTTCACTTCTGGTAAGTCCGACTTGACAATGTGATTGTTCAAAGAGAACCATGACACTGATGCCTTCGAGGGATTGACATAGGCATTGGAACCATCACACCAGGCGGCAATTCGATCGAGTTCTTTGTGCATTGTGCTGGCGATCTCCTGTCTATCACGTCCTCGTCGATAAATCAAAATGTCATCAGCAAATGACAAAGTCCTTCCCTTTCCATTCAACTGCTGCTCAGTGATCATCACCGTATAAACATTGAATAAGACTGTTCATACGCAATGACAGATTAGTGAAAGCAAAATTACCCAGAAAAACCACAAAGAGTCAACAACTGTTTTGGTTGGTTTACAATGTCCTATTACGTATATGCAACATTATCATGTAATTCTTGGTATATTTTGTTTTTTCGTGCCAGGTACACACTAAAGCAACAGTTGAGAAACAGGACACAAACAACACATTGCACAATACATTGCCTGGTTTATTTTGTTTTATCGTGCCAGGTACACACTAAAGCAACAGTTGAGAAACAGGAAACAAATAAATAAAGCCGTTACACTTGAAATACAAAATCATTCACTCGCATCAACAATAAAATGAAATATGTCAGACAATACATTGTGCAATCAACTGTTTGTGTACTTTTCTCTCTCTCTCTCTCTCTCTGTGTGTGTGTGTGTGTGTGTGTGTGTGTGTGTGTGTGTGTGTGTGTATGTTTACATTGGGAAACATTGCTTTCACTGTCAGTTAGTAAATTGACAGATTATCTTTATTACACATCAGATAAAAAGATAAGCGCCTGGATCCCATCTCCTGTATCTCTCTCAGCGTGTGGCGACTGATAACAGCAGTTCTGTGTAGGTTTACTACTCTTTTTTGGCTACCTGTATAGTGTTCATGTTTGGCGACACCTCTTTTAAGTTAAAGTTCTTGCAGTCATTTAAATGTCGCCCTCCTGAATCACCTTCTCGCCCTGCCTCCTTAAGTGCATTAGGAATATCGGCCCGGTCCATTGCTTGTACCGTACTTACCGTGACTCTGCCAGCTAACCAATCCACTCGTTCATTCCCTCTTACCCCATGTTATGTATAAATACCAAATACAAAATACTTTGCTAGCATCATGTTCATTCTGTTATGCAGATGGGTTCTTCTTGATAGCAAACGGAACTCTTTTGTAGAATCTCAAGTCTCTGGTAACCCCAGAGTAGGTTAAATTGACGAGCATCTCATCCAGACAGTGCAGCGCTGCAGGATGATGTGTTATGTAGAACTTGTTGGCAAACAGCTGGGCACGGTTGATGAAAATGGGAAAGTCTTCTGGTGAGAAGATGCAGATCTTGTGGACGTAGATTGTAGCACATTTCAATGTAGGGTTGGTTTCCCAAAGGGAAAATGATGTCAGCCATGGTTTTCCGTGAGGTTTACCTGTGAGTAAAACAGCATGTTGATTAATTGGTGCCTGCGCATCACCATGTTCCTTCCAGGGCCACATTGGAAAGAGGAAGGGATGGAGAGAAGGGGGGGGGGGGGTTAGACTTCTCCTAACAAGCATGTCGCTAAAGGAGACTAATGAGCGATGTTTCTTTTTAAGTCGCAGTGCACTTGTCTCCACCCGAGATAGCAGAAAGATGGAGGGAATTCTTCAATTAGCTCTTTAATTCTCTAGGAGATCATCAGGAAAGAACAACTAAAGAGCACAGAGCAACAGTGTTAGAACTACACATATTAATGGATGAAATAGAAAAAGTCATTAAGCAGTCTCCCAAATTTAAAGCACCAGGAACTAATAGATTACCAACAGAAATAATTCAAAAAGCAGGTGAAAGCAGCATCAGATGGCTTCACAGAATATTTAATGCAGCATGGGTACAATAAACTGCCCCTATTGATTGGCAACATGCAATAGTTATACCATTGTGGAAGAACAAAGGGAGCAAACGAGAATGCGGTCGATACCAAGGCATCTCTCTTTTAAGCCATGTTGGCAAAATGTATGCCAATATAATAGGAACAAGACTGAGACCAGTGATAGAACCACAGCTGGCAGAAGAACAGATGGGATTTAGGAGAAATAGAAGCTGCACCGATGCAATCTTCACACCTAAACAGTTAATAGAAAAGAACATTGAATACAATAAGAACTTATTTATGGCATTCGTAGACCAGGAGAAGGCATTTCACAGAGTCGACAGACAATTATTATGGAAGGTAATGGCAAGATATGGAGTAAGCGAACACCTCATCGAAGTGTGCAAAAGTTCATACAGGGATTGTAGAAGTGTAGTTAGAATAAATTATGGAACATCTCATCCATTCACAGTAACATCTGGAGTAAGTGTCTTATCACCACTGCTGTTCAGGGGTGTGTTTTATCACCACTGCTGTTTATCACCTACATCGACAGTATATGCAAGAATGCCAAGCCCATGAATGAAAATGTAAGTAAGATCAACGAATTACTCTTTTGCAGATGATCAGGCCTTGATAGCAGATACAGCCATGAAATTGCAACAACATCTAACATCCATGAAAGAAGAATGTAAAACAAATAATATGAGAATCAACACTGAAAAGACAGAAGTAACGTCAATAGGAAAAAAGAAGACAGATCTAAACATAGCAATAGAGTGCAAAGGCATTAAACAGGCATCTGAGTTTAAATATCTGGCAACTACATTTACTGAAGATGGGAAATTGGATAAACAAATTAACATTAGATGCAGTAAAGCAAACCAAGTATTGGGACAGCTAGCCCTCCTCTTACAGCATAAGACAATCTCAATCAGCACAAAGAGACATCTTATTCAAAGCATATTTATTCTAACTCTGAGCTACCAGTGCCAGACATGGTCACTCACAACAAACCATAAAAAAAAAATTGTAACCATGGAGATGAGATGTCTGAGAAGGGCTGTAGGAGTGACCATAAGAGATAAGATCAGGAATGAGATCATGAGAGAACAAGTCGGCACAGAACCAATTCTGGATTACATACAAAGACAGCAAGTGAAATGGTTTGCCCACTTAGAGAGAATGCCTTGTGACACCATACCATACAAAGCATACATGGAAAGAGAAGAAGAACGTAGAGCACGGGGTAGACCAAGAACAATATGGAAGGATAACATCAGAGAAACTCTACAACAACACGATGTGCCTATGATTGAGGCGGCCAGAAGAGCTAGAGACAGAACCTTACATCTCTCTAGACACCCACAGCGGTAAAAGAGGAAGTGAAGAAGAAGAAGAAAAAGACCACTGCTGTGTGAAAGACTGGGTGGTTGGAAATGCCAAATGTTAGACGGGCCTGCGTGCCCAATTTGTGACCCTTTGAAAACTAAAGTTCTTTTCTGTTTTTAAATTTTTGAGGTTATGTGCTCGGTGATTACCACTCCAAAACATTCTTGTATTTGTTATAGGCAACGGTTCTTGACTTTTTAATGTGAAAAGCTTCGGAAAAAAGAGCTAACACACTTTCAGACCGTCACTTGTACCATCGGAACTGGAACTCTGCGCTTGCTGCTCAACACTGGGATGGAGCGCTTATGAGACTGTTCCGAGATGTCGATTCTTAATCAAACACTAAACATTAAAAGTTATTATTCTACAAAAAATATATTAAAAAAAAAAAAGAAATAAAGGTCATTTAAAAAAAGAAAGAACAAAAGTGAAAGAAAGAAAGAAAGACAGATAGAAAGAAAGAAAGAAAACAAAGTAATGAATATTTTGTAAAAGGGGAAACATTGTGGGAACATATATGTAAGAGTAATATTATTGACTACATTAAGAGAGAGAGAGAGAAACAGAGAGAGCGAGAAAGAGAAAGAGAGAGAGAGACAGAGAGAGAGAGAGAGAGAGAGAGAGAGAGAAAGAAAGAAAGAGAAAGAGAGGGAGGGAGAATGAAATTGCAGCAGAAAGTTGGGTGGTGATAGTAGGAAAGTAAATGTGCAACTCATAGAAATAAAAAACATTCACAATTTGTCAAACCTTTAAAACCCCCCGGGACATCCAGTATCTTGCTGTGGTGAAGAGTTCCCCAAAAATACTCGTCAGGACTCTTGACGCTCTTGCACCACTCCAAAAACTCCTTGGCTACCGGGTCTCCGAGGGAAAACTCTACAAATGCTCGAGAGAAAGTTCCATAGGTACTTCCTTTTACCATCTCGAGCCCGTGCGGAGGCGGGTCATTAGCCACAAACATGTTCTTGACTCTCATTTCTCCTGCAGGCAGGAATTCAATTAATACATATTCATTACTGTATAAATATGCAAGCACTAGATCTTCTCATTCTTCTGTGTTCGCCCTAAATATGGAGGTCAGCACACTGTGTTGTGGTCAGGGCTTTCAAAGTTTGTACTTTCCTACACATTTGGTACTATGTGACTCAACCTAGCAAAACTGTACTTCTGGTTACTCCCCCCCCCCCCCCAGAACCCCTCTCCCCCTCAATGGTTTGGTACGTTTTAGAAGCTTCAATTTCTTTCAATGTTGGCATTGTCCGCTGGATCCAGTAAGCATTATTAAAGGAAAACCGACGTCAGGTATGCCGCTGGATAAGAAAATTCCCAGCTTTGTTGAAGAAGAAAATGTGAACAAATAGATAAAGAATGGAGGAAACTAAAACATTGCAAGATCAACCACATAAACCCCAAAAGAATGTATGTTTACATTTTTTTTTTTCAGAAGAAAAAAATGGGAGATCAAAATCAATCGTTTTCTATTCGTATCGAAACGTATGCTTTCTTTTTTGACATTGCCTCATTCCTCTACAGTTGAAGAAAAAGTCTTCTCTCTGATTTACGATATTAGGATTTGAACTGTTCCCTGAAGACTTCAACAGTAAAAGCATTGATGAGCTCAAATTTATTGCACCAGAACATTAACTGCACCAACCAGAAGTCCCCAAAACAGCTTCGTAACAAACTGAGCGAATAAATGGTACAGCACTGATGTAATAGGGGGGGGGGGGGGGGGGGGAATATTTCAATTCCAATCATATAACATTGTGTATGTGTGTGTATTTTTTTTTAAATAGATTTTTACGGGTTTTAATTGAGCACATTTTTTGCTGTTATCTATTTCTTGGTTTCTTGTTGACCTGTTTATAAGCTCTGCTGTCTTGCCCGTTGAGTCTTCTAGTCACAGTTGTTAGTATTTAGTAACGTGCGATTGTTTTTGGCTGCATCTTTTCTTTCCCGTGCTTGAGCTTTCTAGTGCCAGGTTGTGACGTTTATAGCACTTTTTGGTTTCAGCTGACCTGCAGCTACCATTTACGTCATATACTGAGTAAGCATGTTTTAATTACATTTGAAAACCAGCTTAAAGGGATTTTAAAAAAAACCTGTGATTTACCCATTTTTAATCAACAATCTTACTACGAGGAGCTTTAACTGAAAGCACTAAAAGTGCGATAGGATTTAACAATAGCCAGGTCACCGTCTTCTAATTTGTCAGTGTTGTTGTTAAGGCTGTCAAACGTGTTAAGCACGTGACATCATGGTGCAGACAAACACGGTTAGGTCATAATGCCCGTTTAAAAAAGGACAGCCCCACTATTGGCCTGCAAAAAGTGGAGCACAGTTCTGTTATCGGGTTTTAAAAAAAAAACAAATAAGTGAAAGGGATGAAACCTCTAAGGAGGATTCCAAACTGAGTCACCTGACGGACAGTCCAGCATTCTTAACTGTCCTGCTAACAGCTCTTAAACAACTGTCTAGGGATTTCAGTTGTGATTTTATGCATTAAAAAAAAACACATTAAATTAACCATTTATCTATCCGCTTCCCAACAATCAACAATTGTCTTTAGATCTGTTCGTGAGTGTAAGCAAAAAGATCGTTCCCCCAACGCCCCCCCCACCCCACCCCCCCCCCCTAATCTCCATGTTTTATTAGTGAATGCCAGACATCTGATTCACCAGCTCAGCAGGACAAGAAGCATCCGAAAAAAGCATTCAAGATTCTTTAGTCACGTTCTGAGAAAATGAAAACTGGCAAAGTCAAGACAATTAAATAGTTGAGGGGAAGCTAGGTAAAGTGAAACCAAGAGAGGTTTGCCATCATGGCGCCGAAGAACATTTGATTGGCATTGCACAAGACAAAAGACTATGAACATACAATGGTTACCAATGTCACAGAAAGGGCTATAGGAAGAATAGTTTCATGTGTATGTATCTGTGTGTGTATACGTGCGTGTGTGTGTGTGCGTTCCTGTGTGAGCGTGTGTGCGTGCGCGTGCTCGTGCACGTGTGAGTGTATGTGTGTGTATTATGTATGTATGTGTGTATGTGTGTATGTTTGTATGTGACTATGTGTGTATGTGTGCATGTTTGTACGTGTGTACATGTGTACGTGTGTGTGTGTGCGTGCGTGCGTGCGCGTGTGTCTGTCTGTCTGTCTGTCCGCCTGCCTACCTGTCTGTCTGTCTTTCTGTCTGTATAGGATAACTGGAAGTAAATCAATTAGTAAACGGTCTTTTCAAGCCAGCGTCGCATCTGGCACATGGCAATAGATACATATGTTTATAGACCAGCTGACACTCGATAGCTAATGCAGTAAAGATAAGCCGGCTACCTTTTACCAAAAACCATGTTGTAAGAGTCAACTAACTGGGGTTCCTTTGAAGTCGGAGTGCATCTGCCTGAGCGGCAAGGAACCAGCAATCTGCATACAAATAAGTCAGATCTGTAAAACAGATGTACACGCAAAACTCAGATCCTGGAACAAAGCTAAAGTCCAGAAATGGATGAACAACCAGGTCTTTCCACTGGAGTTTATAGCCGGTGAACGCAAACAAACAACACTTCCCAGCACATTAACTGTACCGACTTTTTAGCTGGATCGAACTGGGAGCCAAAGTTAATTCAGCTAGTGCTGACTCGAACGCAAGATCTTCTGGTCGGCCGTTAGAGTCTTGCCATTACGCTAACTCAGTTCGCAAGATAAACATAAAATGCATTAGCTTTATTTTCTCAAAGTCTTTATTATATTCTACATGTTTAACACGGTACCTGTCTCCTGGTCTGTGACATAAGTGTGTTTGAACTCATAGCGGTCAGCAACAAGCATATCCCCGGTGAGGCCTTCAATGTCATTTCCTCCATTAAATATTTTGAGTATTTTGACCATCTCCAGGTTTGTTCTGAGGAGTAGACACAAATTAAGACATATACTACAGATATTGGTTAAAGTCAGCATGTAGTAAATACAACATGAAGATTAATGTAAACAAAACCGAAACAATGCAAGTTAGTAGACATTCTGCCCCACTACACTTACAGCTGAATGGTTCTGCCCTGAATTAAGTTAGAGAGTTTAAATATCTAGGAAGTATGATCACAGAAGATGGTAGAATTGACAGAGAAATAGAAACCAGATGTCAGAAAGCAAGTGCACTCATATACCAATTGTCACCATTATTAGGACATCCAAGCATAACTATGAGTGCAAAGATACAGATTATTAATAGCATATTTATTCCAACATTAAGCTACCAGTGCCAAACATGGACACTATCTAAAGCCCATATACGCAAAATTACCACCTGCGAGATGAGGTGCCTGAGAAAAGCAGCCAACCTAAACATGCGAGATCGAGTGAATAATGAAACTATCAGGCAAATTGTGGGAACGACACCTTGTACTAGATTCACCGAGAAAAGCAGATCAGGTGGTTTGGCCATCTTGTTAGAATGCAGCAAGATCAAATACCATCACAAGCATTACATCTCAGAAGACCAACTACAAGAGCAAGAGGACGGTCACGGAAAACATGGATCGACAACATTAAAGACACTCTACGCATTCACGGCATGACAATAGCCAGTGGCAGCCAACGTGCACTGGAACATAAATTATTCCTCCCCACGACGCTTAACGGCAGAAGTGGTTTATGATGATGATGATGATGATGACTACAGATATTAAGATTAAGGGCCAGTTTAGAGGCAATACATAAACAGTACTAATTTTGTCATCTATTGTAAACTTATATGGGAGTTTATATGCATGACAAAGCAGATGTGATTAGAGCTATTTGGGAATAAGTAACGAAGTCTGAAAAGAAACTAGATTATTATGGGCTGGAGAGAATGATGCACCTGGGTGTGATCAGAGGGCACGGCTGGCACACTACGCTCAGAGGACAGGCAAGACGGACATACAACCTGACTACGACTGGTACGATTTGTATTGGAACTCTACGCTGGCTGCTGAGGGTGGGGACGAAGCGCTTGTGGAAATACCCCTAGTTCTGTGATATAAATTTTTAACTCAACTAAACTCATGCGAGTTTGTAATTTTGTCCTTTCACATTGGCGTAGAAAAAGACTAGCTACATATGCACCGCTTAGTGGTAAACTGGTACGTGGCATGCTAGATGTGGTCAATAAAGTAACAAGAAATGTACTGATCGGCACTCAAAGAAAGAAGTAGAAAGATGGAAGAAAAAAATTAAACAACATAAAAATCGAAAGTTATAGTTACCGTTCCGGGAATCGAACCTGTCACCCCCAGACGGCGTCTGCACCTCGCTGTGGAAACAAATGCACCAAGAACATGGTCAACTCGGCACCCCTTTCCCCTCCCAAAAAGGTGTGTTATTGGCCATGTCTAACGTAGAGCTTGAAATTCACAACTTTTTCGTAGACGTGGTCAAGGCTCGTGATCATCATGGTCGTATGAGAATTGTTCAGCGGAAAGTGACCAGGGGATCTGGTCGACATGGAACTCTCAGATGAGATGAAAGGCCATACTGAACTCTCAGATGAGATGAAAAGCAATACTGAACTCTTAGATGAGATGAAAGGCAACACTAAACTCTCAGATGAGATGAAAGCAACACTGAACTCTCAGATTAGATAAAAGACAACATTGACCTCTCAGATGAGATGAAAGGCAACACTAAACTCTCAGATGAGATGAAAGGCAACATTGAACTCTCAGATGAGATAAAAGGCAACACTGAACTCTCAGATGAGATGAAAGGCAACATTGAACTCTCAGATGAGATGAAAGGCAACACTGAACTCTCAGATGAGATGTAAGGCAATATTGAACTCTCAGATGAGATGAAAGGCAACATTGAACTCTCATATGAGATGAAAGGCAACATTGAACTCTTAAATGAAAGGCAAGACGGACATACACACAGAATGCTTCTGGCACAGACGGAACTGAAATTCTGCGCTAACTGCTGAGGATGGGAATTGGGGGTCGTGGGGTGGGAGTTGGTGGGGTGTGGCGTGGTAGGGTGGGGATGGTGGGGTGGGGGGCCTTAAAGAAATGTTCCGAGTGCTATGATGTAAGATTGTTAACTCAGCTCAGTTCAGCTCACTTAAAGTAAAGTAAAAAAAAAAAAAAAAAGGTAAAGGGCTCTTTAGGCGTATAGGGCATTTAGTTCTAGACCTATATTTTTTTAGACTAATCGACACATGATGGGTGATGTGGTCAGCATCACACCGGCCGCCTTTTCTTTCCTGGACTGGACTCGGTACCCACTCAAGGCTGGGTCGACCTGGGCGTCAATGTCATTTTTTTAAAAAAGTCCGGCTCCGCCAGGAAGCAAACTCATGACCTTCATATCTTGCCGCTACGCCACGACGACTCCCTCACTTAAAGTAGTACACTGAAAAATCACTTGTGCCTACCAGCCAGATAGACATAAGTTAACAATTCACATCAGTTCGCGACCCATTTCAATACTGACCGAGGAACCTCATGATTCACTTCTAATGCTGCTGTTTCCTGGCCACACAGACTCTTCACCCAATAGGTAAAGTAAAGATCCCTTTTCACGCCTTTAGGCGCATCGGGCATATGGAAAGAGCACCCATATTTTTACAGACCATCAGCACTGGGTGGGTAGTGTGGTCAACATTACGCCGGCCGTCTTAACGTTCCAATTACATAAATTCTGGTACAAATTTTAGGCTGGATCGACTTGCGACGCCCCCTACCATGATAACAATCCACGCAGCCAGCAGTTGGTTTTGATCGCGGTACGTTGAAATTAGAACGGTCACGCAACGCCTAAGCCACGGAAGCCGCTTTTTCACCCACACCTTGTTTTTAAACATTTTAAGTTTTGAACTGTGGGTGTGTTGATTTCATTGCATGTTGTTTTACCCAACGGTGTGATCTCTCAGAATGACTGTTTACCCACCAAGAATATTGCACAACCTACAAAACTCTTTACCTTCAGTGATGAACCCCAGGGTCTCTAGAATGCCTACACGTGTGTACTAAATGACAGGATCGTCGGAATGCGAAAGTTCAGACACCCTGAGCGCCCCCTTCCCCGGCCATTTGTAGGGTTCTGAGCTCCCCCTCATCTAGAAAAGTTGCAAACAAAGATAAGTGGCCCTCTCACCATCAATTCTAAAATATTTACAGTATTTAAGTAATTTAAGTATTGAAATGAATAAGTTTATACATTTAAAACTAAATTATGTTATTACATTTGTTTGCAGTAAATGCATATACTTATAAATAATATTCAACCAACCTTAGAGGAAACTGGGTCCCTGGCATATTGATGACATATTTCCATTGCACAGGATGCTGCAGAAGGTCTTTCATACAGTCAATATCGGCCATTAATCTGGAAAAGCCGGCATAGACAATATTCTCCAACTTGCTGGCCACGAACACGTTGGGAAGGCATTTGGTCACTGACCTCACAGCTTCCAGAAGTTCTATGCTGGCCTTGGTGTCCACACTCAAACAGTACACGTTGTGTAGCTGATAGATCGCACGTAGCAAGAAAAGAACCTGTGAATACATTCCATTTATATTTAGAAATTTAAGTATCTGGGCACATGGATAACATCAGATGGAAGATGCATAACTGAAATAAGAAACAGAATAGGACAGGCAAAAACTGCATTTTATAAAATGAAGAATATCCTGTGCAATATATCCTTGTCATTGAGAGTTGGAAAAAGAATTCTTGCTTTCTACATACATCCAGTTTTAATATATGGATGTGAATCCTGGACAATCGGTAGGCAGGCCAAACAATTTCTTGAGGCCTCAGAGATGTGCTTTTACAGAAGAATGCTTAGAATACCTTGGACAGCCAAAAAGAGCTACCAAGAGGTTATTTATTTTTGAAAGAGGCGGGAGCCCAAAGACAACTTATCACAGACATCAGAAGGAGACAGTCATCATTTTTCGGCCATGTTATGAGAAGATGGAAAATAGAACATGTTGTGACCCGTGGAAAGTTCCGTGGAAGGAGGGATAGAGATTGACAACGAGAGAAGATTCTTGACAGTCTTGTTGCAAGGCATGGAGGTGTGACGGCACACGAACTGATACATGCTGCAGGAGATCGTGGATTATGGAGAGGCATGGTCTCCCACACCAGTCGGCAAAGCACCTGATGATGATGATATTCAGGTGCACAAAACATTGGTAGCCGCCGTAGCGTAGCAGCTTTAAACTCGTCTGAGGGTACGAAGGTCGCGGGTTTAGGTCCTGACGCAGCCTTAAATGTGTGCCAGGTAACAGTCCTGAGAAGTAAATGCGGCCGGCGTTCATGCTGATCGCATCAATCTTTAACTGAGGATTGGTCTCAAATTTATATGTCTAGCCCTATATGCCCAATATACCTGAAGGCGTGAAAAGGGGTATTTTATTTTACATAAACTATTATATTTAAAAACAATCGTAGAGGTATTAACGTGCAGTCAGGGGTACCGGAACCTTGGGGACACAGGCTTTTACCTTTCTATCCCACACCAAAGATTTAATGGGGCTCAGTCCTTCCCCCTTTCAGGATTTTATAGAGCTCAGCCCCTCCCCCTTTCCCTTCAGGATTTTATAGAGCTTAGCCCCTCCCCCTTTCCCTTCAGGATTTTATAGAGCTCAGCCCCTCCCCCTTTCCCTTCAGGATTTTATAGAGCTTAGCCCCTCCCCCTTTCCCTTCAGGATTTTATAGAGCTCAGCCCCTCCCCCTTTCCTCTTCAAGATTTTATAGAGCTCAGCCCCTCCCCCTTACCCTTCAGGATTTTATAGAGCGCAGCCCCTCCCCCCTTGCTCCCAATTTCTAATGACATAATGGAGCTCAGCCCCCAGACTTTATAGAGCTTAGCCAACCCCCCCCCCCCCCCCCCCCCCCCCCAAAAAAAAAACTGACCTAATAGAGCTAAGCTCCACTCCCAGACTTAATGGAGCTAAGCACCCCTTCCGTTGACATTGTGAAGGGGCTAAGGCGCCTTCCCCCAACCCCCCCCCCCCCCCAAATCCTTCCCCTGTTCAACCATAAAGAGAAGTTCTTTTTCAAGTATGTGTGTTATCGCTTCATATTATTTTAAATATATTATTGCAAAAATTTCTTAAAACGAATTCTAATCTTTCGAAAAATCAAGAGTTCATGTGCAAAACAGTGCGCTAACAGGAGATTAATATCATATTCACCCCCTTTCCCACCCCCACACTAAGGACCATTGTAGCAGCAATGGACATGGAACAAAGAATACTGTTCACAATGTTCCAGCATGTGATCCTGTTGGTGAAAGAAAATGGCTTGGATTGCTTACCATATCAAATGGTCAGCTGATAAAACTTAAACGCATACAGAATAAAGCCATGCGGCTAATTCTGGGATGTACAAGAGACACCCCGGTAGTATGTATGTGACAAATACTTGCACTGCTTACTGTTGCAGATAGGCTCAAATGTCTGCAAGCAAAGTCATATCTTAGAGTAGCTGCAGACAAGACGCAGGCTCAAAGGCCTGCAGGCAACGTCGTATCTCAGAGTAGCTGCAGACAAGACGCAGGTTCAAAGGTCTGCAAGCAAAGTCGTATCTCAGAGCAGGCTCAAAGATCTGCAAGCAAAGTCGTATCTCAGAGCAGGCTCAAAGGTCTGCAAGCAAAGTCGGATTTCAGAGTAGCTGCAGACAAGAGGCCCCTCCCACATGAAGCGCTAGGTAGAGCTAAGAGTCACAGACGGAAAAAAGGAATTTCTTGAATGACCTAAGCTGAGGACACAATGTGTGCATGCTTGATACATTTAAACAAGGAGTAGACTGAGCAAGCATCAGACTTGTGCATTGATCTAATAACTTTGGGTCGTGAGTGCAGGGACTGACCAGCTGGCGCTGGAGAATCAGAAGTTCAACGAATAATCCTTGCCAGTTCCTGTCCAGGTGATGTGATTATCTATACAGATGACTCTGTTTTGAGAGGCAGACGAAGTGCAAGAGGGTTCATAGCAAAAGCGTATGGATGTCGATTAGCTGTAACAAAACTTGGCATTGAATATCATAATGTCTAGTTTCAGAATGGAAGTGGGGAAATTTGTTTCCCCCCAAAGCCTTGTTCCCTCTTGGAAAGAAGAATTGTGAAGTCTGAATTTCGAAGTTATGGAATAGGTCTACCTCCAATTTTGAGTGGATCGAGGCTATGACAACCCTTATCACTAACCGCATTTCTCACAATATTTTCTGCACATAAATTAAGGCACATTTATTAGAGAAAGAATTCAGCCGTGTCTTACTCCTCTTTGCATCTCGAATCAGTAATACGTTTCACCACCAATTCAGGAAGGATTAGCTCTGCGGACATCCAAGATCTTTTGACCATCTTGTCGAAAACGCCAACAGGTGTTGAGAGTTGACACCCTGATAGAACCCTAGTTAGCAGATGTGTTAACTTATTCCTTGACAACATTATCGAACATTTTAGAAAAATTAAAAATGGTCGCCAACACCAGAACACATTGGAACGCTGGATGTGGACAAAATCTAGTGACCCCAAACCCACTTCAAGTTGTGAAAGATATGAAAGACTAGAAAGGATTTCTGATGTTATCATGGAAGGTGACTCATCTTCCAAATCTACCTGAATTCCCCCTCCGACCTCTTACCTGTATGTGATATATAAAGGTACAGTGTGGATGAAAATCATTAGGTAGACACTTTGTATGTATGTTACATATGCCACACCACAGTTAGCATACAACAAAGTGTTAACTATGACAATTCACACATGTGGTGATCAGTACTCCACCAAAGTCACCTAAGTGTAATTTAAGCTTCCTGCCACCCCCCCCCCCCCCACCTTTCTTTTTTTTTTACTGACTGCTTTTTTTGGGCTGTTATCTGTCTCTTTACAATAAGTCAAATGCAACTACACAATTTTAATTTGCCCCTTATTGATCAAATAAGATTCTTGTCGAAAAAAGGACGTAGGTCTTTGGTGACTTTGGCGGTGTCATATAGCATCTGCATGACTTTAACGCAGTGCCGTTTAGCAGCTACATTAATTTAACGCAGTGCCATTTAGCAGTTAAAGGACTTTGATGCAGTGCCATTTAGCAGCCAAATGACTTTGATGCAGTGCAATTTAGCAGCCAAATGACTTTAACGCAGTGCCATTTAGCAGCTAAAGGACTTTGACGCAGAGCTATTTAGCAGCTAAATTACTTTGGCACAGTGCCATTTAGCAGCCAAATAACTTTAGCTCAGGGCTATATAACAGCTAAATGAATTCGGCGCAGTGCCATTTAGCAGCCAAATGACCTTAACGCAGTGCCATTTAGCAGCTAAATGACTTTTAGCGCAGGGCCATTTAGAAGTCAAAAGACTTTAGCGTAGTGCCATTTAGCAGTCACATGACTTTGGTGAGGTGCAGCTTTGCACCTACATGATTTTGGCGCTGTTCCAACAAATTATATTAAGCTCACCTGATCTAAATCTTTGTAGAAAAGGATAATAAAAGCAATAGGAAACTCCTTCTCCTCCTCCGTTGTCTTGGGATATCTGTTAAATCCATACTTGTGCAGAAATGCTTCACAGTCTTGGCTGTCTAGAATATACTGGGAACTGCGGGTTCGCTTCACCGTCTGTGGAAATTCACTGTTGTTGCCTTTTGAATGTAATGCCTTCTGGCAATTAGATCCGGCAATTTCACGAAATCCAACCCAATTTTTCTGGTACACACTTATCAATGTATTTCTTTCAGCTTTCTTTTGTAATTTCCGAATGAGTTCCAGATTGAAATCAACTGTATTAATCTCTGATGAATGTAATAGTGTAGTCTTTGAAGATAACTGATTGATGAGTTCCAGTTGGAAATGTTGGTTTACATTTTGGGACTGAGAATCTAGGTTGTCGTTGTGTGATAGAAAATCTGGGTTATTTTTCGGAGATCTTAAATTCTTGGGTTCAAAGCTGTAAGCCTTCCCATTGGTCACATCTGCACGTGTTTGGGTGCGCTCGGAATCACAAGATGGCTGGCTGAATATCCATAGACAGACTGTTATAGATGCCCAGGCTGTCACTAAAATGGTGTAACGAACACCTGAGGAAGATCAAACAAATGTTACCTTATCAATATAAGTTAGTAAATGTACAGAACTCTGTTCCACACCATCAGACGTATGGAGCATATAGGGCTTGACCTATATTTCATAGATCAATCGGCATTCGGGGAATGATGTGGCCAACATCACACCGACCGCCTTTACTTCACATGACTTTACCTAGTACCTATAAAAGATTGGGTCGACTTGAAAGCCAAGGTCATTTCTTTAAAAAAAAATCGTCCGTCTTTTTAAACCCCAGCATAAACATAATTTAATAGCCCTATATAGTATAGTGAGAGTCGCCGTAGTGTAGCGGCTAGACGCCTGCTTGCAGATCGGAAGGTCGTTGGTTCGGATCCAGAAAAATCCGGACTTTTTTTCAATAATGACTGATCCAGCCTTGAGTAGGTGTCAGATACATTCCTTTAAAGTAAAGGCGGACGGCTGTCACATCACCCACCAATGGGGGCCAATTGGTCTGTAAAATATATGTCTAGCCCTGTATGCACTATATATACTAAAAATCGGGCATCTACGCACTAGCGATATGGTCATGCAAACACTTCGGACTGGACACTATGGTCTTCGAGCACACCTGTACAGGATAGGCATACAAGAATCTGCTGCCTGTGATTGTGGAGCAAAAAGACAGACCTCTGAGCCCATACTGCAGTACTGCCCTTACCTCTCCCAGCAAATACTGTGGATCTGGCCCAGGGAATCCACATTGCGAGAGAAGCTAAGGGAGACCGGTGGCGACCTTAAACGCACAATCCTATTTTTGACCCAGACGGGACTCAATGTTTAGCATGACTGATGCCGAACGCAGAAGAAGACGAACTAAACAGTATAGTGTTATTGCAAA